TTGGTAATTGGGAGCTGGGAGCTGGCGATACCTCACTCGATATGCTCGAAGTAAACACTTGAGATTAATTTAGGGTATGAAATATCAAATCGATTATGGCTGAGCAATTGGCTGATGATGTTGATTTATTGTCGCGTCATGCGCTGACAATGTTGAGTGGAGCGGAACTGGAACTGAAACTGGAACTGAATCGGATTGAAATATAGAATTGGAGCTGTCTTTAGCTGCTTGGCTTGTTTGTCTTTTCATTGACTCATGCTTGTTATGGCCTGTCAAACTCTTGCACTTTGACTTGCCACAGCAGGTCCGGCACACACTCACACTCACACACACACACTCTCGAGCTGGCTGCAATCACAATGGTGTACAATTACTCGCATTTATTGGCCATTTGTCGCCGCGTTAACTATTCCCTGTTGTTGTTGCTACTGCTGCTGTTGCTGTTGCAATTAATAATTCACTTGTTGGCCTGTCATATACGAATCGTATCCGCTGACATTGAAAATGCGATTATATTCAACAAGACATGAACATTTTTAACAATTTTATAATGCTGCTCAATCATAATTTGGCTAAGAATGGCATCATAGGTTCTTGGCCTATGCATTTTTCAAGGCAAATAATATATAACGAACTCTTTTCTTCTATATATTTATATGCAGTTTAATTTATTAATGAATACATAGAATTTAAATAACATACATAGACATTTATCACGCTCATATAAATGTAAGATTCATTTCGCCATAAATTTATTTTCCCTGAAAGTAAACAGTATTTAGTAGTCCATCACTCAGCAGAAACATCTAATTTACTTGGCTTTTATGAAATATTGTTAGCTTGGAATAATTAAAGTGTAAACTGCTTTCAATTAATGACTCACTTGGCCAATAGCCGCAATGTGACACATGAGATAATATATTTTTAGGTTGACCTTCCTCCACATCACGTTGAAGTCTTAGCGATGATCGTTTGATTTTTATGCCAAATAAAATACAAACCACATATCATTCAATTATTTTGATATCTCTGTGTGGACATAAACTGCAGCTGTAAACGAGTTTCTTGTGTTTATTTAATCTAGTAATTGCTAAAAAGTTTTCGGCTCTATGCAACCGCATAAGCTGCGCATGTAAATCTCTGTGTGTGCTATCTGCTTGATCGGCATGAGAATGGCTCCATGGTTGGGTTCAATGCACGTGTCCTGCCCTCCAAGGTCGGAGTTGTCAAAACAACTTTCGAACTGCAACTGGATAGTGTGGAAATCGTGTGCCGTAATCAAGGCCAAGAAGATCGCTGGACCGAAGGTGTGGACCCTATCGCAGATTTAACTGCAACCTGACAGCCAAGACAGCTCGAGCCGGCCTGACTTGACTGCAGTGGCTTGGCTTGGCTTGGCTATGTGTCGACTGCAGCCACACTTCCAGTTTTTCCTATCAACGTCAGCGACATGCGGAAGTCTGAAATGCGAAAACCGCTACGCATGCGCCAGAAACTTGTTTCTGGCCTGGCCTGGCCCGGCCCGGCCCAGACACGCACTTGGCTTGGAGCACAACCAGCCCCAATACGCAATGCACGTTATTGACCTTGATTCCGTGTTTATAGCTGCATTTCAGTGAGGGGGACTGAGAGACGGCGGCTGGAAAACTGGTCCAGTGACACCAAGAGCAATTACGCGCGAGGCTAAGCCGTAGGCTGAATCAAAGTCAAAACTATTTTAATGGCATTACGACTGAAAGTGAAATGGAAACCTCGACTGAAATATCTAGCAGATGCGCAATTAGCGCTTACTTACACATAGCCAACATTCATAGCACGGTAAACGCGTAATTATTCATCCTTCTGTGTGCTTCTCTCAAATTACAAATCATCGAAAAACGGACTGACTTTTGAGGAAATCTGACTGTCGGGTCATTCATGAGTCAGTCACTTGGCTATCAAATCACCATCTACATATATACGAATCCTGTGAATCACTAGGGCTTATCCTATCTCTCACTCACTCTCTCTCCCTCTCTCGCACCCGCTCTCTACATATATGAGCATTTCGTATCGTATTTCTTTTAGCGCTCTCAACAAGTTTAGCGAGTTTCAGTTTGACTTCTGGCCGATCAGTCGGCGCTGATAAGCGTTTAGCATTCAATTTTTTGGCCGAGCAAATTGAGAGCTGAGAACTGAGAACTGAGAACGTTGGCGAACAAAAGACTAGATTGTTAACCTTCTAACAGTCATGTGGGGTTGGGGATGTATGTCCGAGTGTGTGTGTGTGTGTGTGTGCACAATGCGAAAGAGTCGACATCAGCGTTGACTCGCTCGATTTTATTCAAACGCTCGACTGCATCTTAAATTACAAATAATCGCAATTGTCTGCGTGCCTTTCGGCTTGAATTTGGATTTGGATTTGGGTTTGAGTACGGGTGGTGGCAGCAGCTGAAATAATTGAGAGACAACGCAAAATGAGGAGAAATGATATGTGATGTTAGTATATATACATATACACATGAATGTATTTATACATTTTGCATGCAATTTGTACAAAATGGATGAGCAGCAACCCCTCAACCTCAACCTCAACCCTCATTATCATTGTGATTAACTCGCCAGAAGTGAAAGCATCAAAATAAAAGCGTTGCGCGTTGCACACAATAAAAACAACAACGAGCCAAATACAAAATTCGAAAAACGAAAAAAAAATTATCAAGAGCGCAGCCCCGTTGCTGCTCTGGGTGGCAGTATCGTCACATCGGCATTAGGCGAACGCCTCGAAATCAAAAAGGCAGCTCAAGGAACTGGCAATAGTTTTTGATCGGACTGTCGAGCAGGCAAGCGCAGAGGCGGCACAGGGGCAGGCGCAGGGGCTGGGCAGGGGTTGGGTAAACAACCCTCCCAACTATGTATGTATATGAATTGTCGCACCCTCTGGCTAATCCAAATGAACAGAAATGTAATGCTGGCTGCCGCCCCAGTTCCTGGCCTTCACCAACGCCATTCGCTGTTGTTGTTTGTCAACTGATTTAATTTCCTGAACTGCTGCCGCCGCTGCCACTTTCCGAGTGCCCGATTCTGCCCGCCTGCTGTGAGAGGGCGTGCCATGTTTCTGGTGTGTATTTCTGGTCGCTCTAATGACTATAACAATGATGGCGACTTGCAAAAGGGCAAACTTCTTAAACGCACTGCAATCGAAATGTTTAGCACTTCAAATTGTAGCAGACCACATGCGGCTGCTTAGTGCCGCCCAAACGATTCCAGGTTGAGCCTAATGCCGATGCGTATGCATATATGTATGCATACGCTGCTCATTAAAATATGTAAAACGCTCTAAGATCGCGTAATTATCGCTAAGTACTAACACATATGCACGTGTCGCCAGCTAGGCGCTCAAATCCAAGCCATTGGCCATAAATTATGCAAAAGCTGGCGTGGGTGGGCGCTCCAAATGCAGCAGAGCAACAACAACAACTACAAAGGCTGCAACATATGTATGCATGTATGCAACGGCAGCAACAACAACAACTGCAACAACTGCTGCCAGCTGTTGGCCATAAAGCAGCTCAAACAATGCCTTTTACTGACGGCTTCTCAAACAACGATAAATTATTGAAGCCAAGCGCAAAGTCAAACAAGTCAAAGACATTGCGCCAACTACAACAACTACAACAACAGCAGCAACATTGGCAAAAACAACTAAAAGTATTTTATGAACCGCTCAGAACTGTTGCCAAGTGCTGACCACACCACAAAGCAAAACTTGTACGAAAAGCTCAGCTCAAGATATAAATCAGCATTTGCGATTGTTAATGCCTATTTATAATACTAACCAGCAAATGCGAGCACAGCAGACAACATTTACAGCAATTGCAACAACAACAGCAACAATAAGCAATGAGCAACACCCGCGCTTATTGCATGTAATCGCAAATTTCTTAATCGTAATCCGACTTGTGGCTCGTCAAATATTCAAACAGTTCTTTCTGCTTGGCACTTATAATACTCTGGCCATAAAATCAAGTTATGAAACGACTATATATCTATATCTGTTTGGGTTTGTTATATGAAAATACCCAAGTCTAATGTCTATATGACATATATTGAGCAGAGGCTTGCTATTGAGATTCTGCTTGAGTTAGGCGAAGTGCTACGATCTGAGATTAATTTTGGATATAATATTAAATAAATACACAGTTATGGAATTTTAAAAATTTTGGATCTAAATATATGGAATGACCTTCTAAAAATATTAAGCATAAATTTAAAAAAATTAACTTTAATTTACGTTTACTTAAAATCAATTTTAAAGTAATAAATAAATAATAAAAATATTATCATAATGTAAATAGTGTAAATAAACAACCCTAAGTAGAAATAATTATATAGAGTACATCAAATCATAGCAATATAAAAAGTGCATGCAGACAGCAGATAAATCAGATACAAAAACATCTCCATAGATTTGTTTGATTGTTTGTGGTTTGTTTTGGTTTTTGTTTTTGGGTTGGGCTCAGATCTGGTCATGTGCAATGAATTGGTGAGCGCAGCCAATTTGATTGGCCAAATGAAATGATTGCCACAAAATTGCATCATGCACTTCGCTGGCAGAACATCGCAGCAGGGATATCAATTGGCATAGAGTATCGAGCTCGGCTACAGATCAGGCTTTAACTTTTTTAATGCACAAATAATTAAAAAATAGTTTAGCCCGAGCATAGAAAGCAAAAGTGGACGCTGAAAGCGAAAGAGCGCAAAACTGGTAAAACAGCTTGCCGCAGCAGCAGCAGCAGCAGCAACAACAACGAGAGTTGACTTATTGGAGCACTTAGCTCAATTCTTGTTATTGTTACTGTTAATAATACCAACACAAGCGAACTCAATTACAACAACAGCCACAGCAACAAGTCGGCCAGCTACCGCCTAGGCGGGCCATGAGTTTAGCCCGAGCCGTAGCCGTTCCAAGGTTTTCCCAGCTGGCTGGCACTATAAAAGCTTGGGCGGCACCATTGCGGAAGGCAGTTGACTTACAAAATCCATAGCCGTCGGTCTGGCACTCTGGCTAGTGTCGCATTCGATATACAGTAACCACTCCTTGTTAACGGACTATAACAGCGTAAAGGCACCAAATCGCGTGTGATTCCGTCTGAACGTGCAGTTTACGTAGTAGCTTATCAAGGATAACCCCAAAACAAAATGTTTCGCTTCGTGAGTCTCCACAGCTTGTGTGTGTGTCTATGTGTGATAGCTAATGGTTGTCTCTTTGTCTTTTGCTGGTGCAGCTCGCATTAACCACACTCGTGACCCTGGCAGTGGGCCAGAACTATCACCAGGATCCCAAGACGGCGGCCATCATCAGTGAGCAGCGCTATTTGTCGGGCGATGGTAAATTCGGTGCCGCCTACACACAGGAGGATGGCATCAACTTCAAAGAGGAGACAGACTCCGATGGCACGCGTCACGGTAGCTACAGCTACGTTGATCCCTCTGGACAGCGTCGCACCATCTCCTACACGGCGGGCAAGAATGGGTAAGATCTCGAGTGAAATAAATAGTTACTCTTTAACTGTAATGTATGCTCCCTGCCATAGATTCCAAGCGTCTGGCGACCATTTGCCAGTGGCCCCACCCGCACCACCACAGCCCGTGCCCACCGCCGGCTATCAGCCGCAGTCGCAGTACCAGCCACAGCAGTACCAGGCCCCCGCACCCCAGTCCTCGTACCGTAGCAACGACTACGATGACGGCTCGTACGATCCTCGCTACAATGACCCCGCCTTCGGCCAGCAGCAGCAGTCCTATCAGCAGCCCGCTCCTCAGCCACAGTACCGTCCGGCGCCCGTGCAGCCCGCTTACAACCCGGTTCCACAGCCTGCCTATCAGCAGCCCGCTCCTCAGCCGCAGTACCAACAGCCACAGCCACAGTCCTACTATACGACGACCACGCCCAATCCCCACCGTTTCTCGCCGCCCGGCAAGCTCTCGCTGAACCGCACACCCGACGGTTTCACCTACTCGTTCAACAAGGTCTAAGCGCTGGAGAGAGAACTACATAGATTGAGCTTGTTTCTATTGTAATGTTACGTAATCTTTCATTTATTCACACCCAACACGAAACACTCTTCTCTCACTCTGTCCTCTCTCTCTCTCTCTCTTCTCTATCTCTGTAACTGGCTGACTCTTGCTCTTTCCTTTCTTAAACTCTGTCAGCCACTTACTGCTGTTCCAGTTCTTACCTTCATCAAAACTCTTTTGTGATATGTTTAAGAAAGAAAGTAAAAGTGTTGCAAACATTCTGCAGCAGCTTAACCTTTACCTATATATAGATATATATATTTATATATGATTGTCGTACCTCCTATCTACGAATCTGTATGTAGTATGTCTAGCAGTTTTTGTTTGTAATTTATAAATAACTACTTCTCAATGCTGTTAAATCCAACTCCACTCTCCTAATGTGAAGCGAAACAAATAAATTTGTAAGTGTGTTTGCGGTCAAAGATGATGAAGAAGAAGACGTTGATCAAATGAATTCTAGAAATCTTTTAATGCTAGATCGTAATACCCACCACGGGCCACGGGACGTATTAGCAATTTTTTGTATATTGTATTGTATCATAAACAATCTGTATAGTCTTTTAAGCAATACACAATATTTAATACGTACCGCCAGCAATCGCTTATCGTTTTATTATTCGCAACAAGTTTTGCTTTTTATTTTTATTTTGGGTGTGTGGCGTTTACGAGTAATTTAATTTTTAACAGATTTATCTAAACACCTTGCCCGGTTGACGCCCCCATGCACGTTGCACAACCTGCAAAACTGTTGTTATACATAACACATGCTGGCCGATACACTGGCAAACAAGTTTCTGCTTCGATTCTATGCAACAAACAAGGAAAGGCACAAAACTGGTTAAGCATAGGCAAAAACCACGGCGAATTGTGAAAAAAATACAAATAGAAAAATTGTAAGATAAAAATACATTTGAGACCAGCTGAATTCCAATGAAAATCGAAATTGAATTCCTCCCACACCTCCAGGCTAAAGAACCGGCAGAGGTATGTGAACTCAGATCCGGCTTTGTATTTATAGATATATAAGCACTCTATCACATTTGGAAAAAGTTAGCTAATTGGTAATGTCTGTTGACATATAAAAGATATTTATGTGCACAGATGAATCATTTATAAATCTTTCACAACTCTTCCTTTGATTGTTTAGTTTAAGTAGTATCCTACCTTGTAATTACATATAATCATTATAATTATAGAATCATTATATACTAAATTTATATCATAATTACAGCGAGCAATACGTAGTATATTTAACAATCTAAAACAATTCACATATTTAATGTCTGTTCTTAACTTTATTCGTAATATCTCATATTACCTTGCGATTTATTCACATTGCTTGGCCATTCGATTTGCCATGCTTCAGTTGCTTTATTGTAATTCATTAAGTATGCGCTAATATTTTGAGCAGTTTGCTCAATTATACGCCTCATCGATGTGCCGTGTCGAATCGCAGCTCGCACTACAGTTCACCCCACGGTGGCTCACCGCAACAGGTGTTGACTGTAGTCAAGTTAACTTTTCACTTCTGTTGCGCGCATTCTTTGCACCTTCTCGTGGCTTGCTGGTCCCGCACTCGGATTTGCTTTCAAGGTCAGTTTTGTTGTGGCTGCGCCTCGGAGTCCGGTGCTGCGAGTATGGCTGTTGAAATTGCTCAGTCAATTAAGAAAATCAATTTTTGCTTTTGTTTTTGCTCACTTATTTTATTTTTTTAATTTCGCACCCACTTTTATAGTTATTTCTTTGCTATTGTTGTTGTTGTTGCTGCAATCGTGTGAGTTGCTCAACTAATTTATGCAAGAGGCTAACTTCAATTTGTAGTGACTACTTTAGGGATAAGCTATAATTGAGTATCCCGCATTCAAACAGGTATTTACGTTTTTCTTCTGTTGAGCAAAATAAGTAAGATTATTGTTTCGTTATTGATTTTAAAATATGTAAGCTATCAAAAATAATGTGTAAATAAAGTACCTTAAGTAATCTCAAATTTAAATAGAGGTTTAATTTCACTTTAGTTTTAGTAGTATAATTTGCCACTTAAAAAAATTGTGGAATTCAAATCATAATTTTTGTCTACTAGCTGGCGCCATCTAGTGAACAAAAGCTGCGGGAAAAGTACCATAGCAATTGACCAAACCATAAATGGCGCCAGCGAGGTGGCAACGCCAAGACTTTTGTAGCACAGACAACAACCAAAATAGTTTTATATTTGAAGCACTCTTCTTCAGTTGTTGCCAATTAATTAAGAGTAAACAGTTTGCTATATTTACATAATTTACATCAAAGTTATAAGATATTAATGTAAATACATTAAATAATATATTTAAATAAGTACGTCTTAGATACTAAGCCACAACTTTCATTCCGCTTTACACATTGATCACCAGCGCAGTCGATCTGTACTTCCTTTTCGGTGTGGCAATGTGCTTCGGTTTCGGGGAACGCTTTAACACAACGCCGGGCGGACGTCGGTGTGGTCGGCTGCCTTTGGACGGTGGATGCTCACCACTGAAGCTATTGCTGTGCAACGGACCAGGGCCGGAGAAGTTTGGCGGAAAGGTTTCGAAATCTTCGATATCCAAGTCGGGTCGCGGCTCGTGTGTATTGGATTTCAGGAACTTTTGTAGCTTGGGATTATTGAGCAGCTGTAGTTTGATGGCGTCGTCGAGTAACTTCTGCTGATCTTCTAGAAATGCCTCGATCTGCTTTTTGGATGCAGCTGTTTTATATCGGTCGTGGCTCTTTGAACGCGGGGGTCCATCATAGTCATCCTGATCCGGTTCGAAAACCCTGTACGAAGAATGTCCGGAAGAAGAAGTTGTCTTCGGCGGTGGCACCAAGTGAAAAGGGTCTGGCTCCGATTCATATGGCGCCGGCGTCCACTTGGTGCGCTTTGGTGGCGGCTCCACTGGTTGCTCCTCACCAGAATTTCCATCGGGTGCATATACCGGACGTCCGTTGCTCTTGTACGGCGTGGTTGAAACGTATTTGTGAGGCTTGGAGTAGGGTGAGCTGGGATGGGCCTTCTTAGGCACCGTGATGGGATGTTGCACGCGGATCTGGGTGCCTATGGTATACTCGCGACTGTCCTGCTGCGTCTCACTGGAATACTCACCCGAGAAGCGCTCGCTGGAGTAGTCGTCCTCTTCCTAAAATTGGAAAGACTATTAGTTGACACTCGAGCCGTTATCCATTGCACCTGCAGCTAACCGAAGTGTAAGGCCTATAGTGTGTCTTCTTCGGATATTTGTTGACCACATCGCGCCGCTTGCTCTCATTGGTGTGCAGGTCAGCACGATAGCTAGGCGGTCCACTGGGCGCAGACACCAAGCGCACGGGTCCTGGTGGACCTGCCGAGCTGTAGTAGTTTCGCCGGTAGAAGGATCTGGGCGGTCTCAAGCCAGATGCTACTGAGCCCAGCAGTAGTACAGCTCCCAGCAGCTGCAATTGAACAAATTACGGATTAGGAAACGTCTTTCCATTTTCGTAGTCACAGCAGTCGTCGCTTACATTCCAGCACAGTCGCATTTCGTATGGGTCTGTGGGGTTCACACTAAAACTTCACTCGCAGCGATTCACTAGATTTTTCGCTGCCGTAACAACGAAATAACACAATTACGAAAGTGTTTTCAAGTCTGCAGTAAGTCTTGCGCAGCCGCGTGGTTTAAACGAAACTGAAAGTCTGGGCAATGGACACAACGGTTTTATGCCAGCTTCCTTCCTATTCCAACAAACCAAATGCGCTGCCGCAACATGTTTTGCAACAAGCCCGAAGACGACAACTGTGGCCAGCAAAGAGATCGAGAAAGAGAGGGAGAGAGACAGATTGAAATCTGCGCACAAGTGAACAACTCACGTTTCACGCATAGACCTGGCCAACACTGGGTGGAAGCTACGGCCCCAAGCTCAGCTCGACTCGACTCGGGCTGCTGGCAGGGGCTGTGCGACGGCCACCGCTAGCATCATTTGCATACCCAGTAGGAAGTGGAGCAGGCGGCATAAATAAAATGTTGTTTATGGCTGTAATTGCAAGTAACTATAACCATTTGTTAAGTGTTGAGAGTGGCTTGGAATGCGCGTCTTATTAGCTGGCCAACTGGTAGTAGAGGGAGGCAATGGTCTAGCCAGCGGCCCTATCTGCCGCTTAGATCTGCTTTTGCGCTAACTGGTTTGAAGATGTACCCACTGTATATGTGTGTGTGTGTGTGTGTGTGTGTGGGTTACCCAATAAAAGTTGCTGCCACCACTTGCACTTTTTTTGGCGGTTCGCTTGGCCTGAAGTTCAGGTTCAGCTGTGCCAGGAAATGCCGGCAATACAAGTCTTGGCCTTTTGGAGCTCAGGTTTGGACTACTTTCTAGCAAGGCAGGATGCGACACAGGCGCAATGCGGAAAATGTTTTCTATAATTTTTTTCTTTCGTTTTTCTCTGTCTCTTCTGTTTGACGTCTGGTAGGTGGAAGTGGAAATTGGCATTGGACAGCGTTCAATTGCATAACATTTCATCACGCGCCATTTGCGCAACTCTCGGCCAATGTTTTCCGTTACGCTTATCCTGTTTCGTTGTTGTTTTATTCATTTTGCAAATTGTGTTTGTGTCTGTTTTTCTATTTGAAAACAATTAAATGCATGCCCCTAATGAAATAGTTGCTTAATGGCACTTTGATTGATGCATTTGCAGTTGCATACAAAATTGGCCAATTAATGTTGGCTCTATGCTGCATTTTCCTCCCATTTTCCAGCAAGGTCAAGCTCAAGTTCACGACGCACGTTGCACGACAATTCCAACAGCAGCAACAGTTGCTGCAAAAGGTGCAACCAGCATTCGACCGTCATAATTTCCGTTTCCATTGTGAACAAAGTTAACTCACCTGGCCGGCTAGCTATCCGCCTGTCTGCCTGTCTGCCTGGCTGCTTGACTGTCTAACTGGCCAGCTGGGGCTGAGCTCGTTGCAAGTGCCGTTAACAATATAAAGTTCAGTCAACGTATTTTTGGTGAAATGTTCATTTCAGTGAAAGGCTTCAGTTTTAGCCGCCTTAAGCAATCCCTGACTGCCCTTGGTCATGCGACATTAAAGCTCAATTTAACGCAACTATAAATTATACTAATGTGCACTAAAATTAATTTACTCACTTTATTTTCAACAGAAATTAATTATCTCTCTCTGTCGAGTTTACAGAAGCAGTTTATTGTTATGCAAAAGCTTAGCAATGACCAGGTTGTTTAGTTGTATGTATGTGTAAAATCCAATTTTATTTTATTTACGTTTTCATGTTATGCTTTCATTCTATTTACATTTACATGCCTATTTAATTTATAGCCAATAAACAACCTATATAAAATTTCTTTCAGAGGCAAAAATTAGTTAATTACCTTTAGAGATAATCTGCATCTAAGGCCTGCTTAAGCAGCGATTGCTCTCAATCAAACGAAAGCGTTCTATTCTGTGATGATTAGCATTTTTATTATTCTTTTGTTTTTAGCGAACTTAACTCACTAAATTAATACATTTTGACTGGCCAGCTAATAGAGTATGTAGAAATTATATAAGATTTGCTGTTCTTTTTTTTTAGGCAAGATCATTAGCACTAGAAATAATTTATAGTCATTGTTGGCTGTGGCGGTGTTTAATTTGGTGCGCTGTGGGTGAAGTCGACAGACGACAGCAAAAAAGAAGCAAAACAGAAAACAACGAGCCATAAAGCTGTCGCTGCCAACGTCGCGGTTGCCATCGCAGTCGCAGTCGCCGTAGCCGTCGCTGCGGCAGTGGCAGTTGATGCATTCAATTAACATGAAACGACGCCAACGTCAAGTTGCATTCAATAAACACAAATATTAAATATTGTATGTTATACAAGGTGTATGGTATATGGTATTTGTATATACATATGTATCTACAGTCGCTGCCTCAGTCGGGCAGGCCGACGTTGATTCGCCGCCCGGCCGAGCGACGCGCAGTCGCAACAGCTGAGGTCGGCGCTGGCACAGCACCCACGTCGACTACCAAAGCGTCGCCGTTGAAGCAGAGGCTGCTGCGCAGGTGTTTGCGTGGGTCAGAGGGAGATGTCGCCTCCGCAGCAGCAGCGGCAGCAGCAGAAGCAGAAGCAGAATTATCCACATCAGACGCTGTTGCTGTTGTTGGTGTGTCATCAAAGCGTCGAGCTCTCATTGCTCCCGACGTTGTTGTTGTTGTTGCTGATGTTGTTGTCGTTGTCAGCTCTGGCAATTTGGGCAAGATTTTCCGTGAGCGTAAGCTGTTGCTGTTGCTATTGTTGTTGCTGTAACTGTTGTTGTTGCTGCTGCTGCTGCTGCTGTTGTTGTTGTATTCGTTATAATTATTATGACTCTTTTTATTATAGTTATTTAACGACTTTGTATTGCGACCAGTTTCCACATATGGATCTGGGTGCTGTTGTAGCTGCTGTTGCCGCTGCTGGCCACTTCCTGTCCGCATATTTGGCAACGACTGCCTCAGCTGGCGACCCTCGGTCGGCTCCAAGCAATCATCATAGTAGGCATATTCCGCTGCCTCCTCATTGTAGGTGACATGTTTCTTGGCTGGTGCCGAGCTGCGCAGTCGCAGCTGCTGCATGCCATTGTCCATGTAGTTTAGCATGGAGTCATCAAAGTCCTCGATCCAGGGCTGCTGTTTGAGTATTTTCCTGGGCGCCATCACAGGTGGCCTCATGATCGGCTCGTATGTGTCCGGCTGCTGCCACTGCTGGCCATCGTTGAGTGGCTTCTTCGTGACCAGGCGCAGCTGTGGCGCATCCCGCTCCACGCTCAGATGGCGGACGTTGTGCTTCACCTGCAGCTTGGGGCTATTCTTTGAGTTGAGCTCCACTTCGCGCTTGTTGTTCATGTCCATTTTGGGACGACGGACATTGTTTTGCGTGGTGTCCGCATCATTGGTGTTGACGTAATCGTAGAACTGTATCTTGGAGCTGTAGGCTTGATTGCGTCTCGCTGCGCTTGGATCTACCTCGGCAACAGTCTCAACTGCTGGCAGTGGATCAACATCTGTGAGCTTGGGCGTCACCTCGCGACGTGCTCTGTTCAGCAGACGTGACTTGTTGTTGCTGTTGGTGTTGCTGTTGCTTGGCTGCAGGTTGTCGTAGAACTGTATGGATGACTTGGCAAACTCCTTGTGAAACATTTGGCGGGTGTTCACCTCTGGGGTTGGCTTAGCTTGCAATGAGCTCAGCTTTTGGCTGGCTGTTGGGTGTGGGCGTTCGGCGCCAGACTGCAGCTGGAGGCTATTGCGTCGCTTGACCCGCGTCTCCACGGCGCTATCCACACGTGTGTCATCCGGCCAGAAGAAGTGCGACTCCTGACGATTCTGTCCATTGCCGCATGGCCGCCCCTCCATCTGGGGCGGCAGACCCGTGTAGAACTTTCCGTTCAGCATTTGTCCGACGTTGTCCGTTCAACTGTGAATTCCGACTGAAACTGATGAAAAGAACGAAAACAACCAAGCGACTTTGGCAGCTGCTGCTGCTGCTGCTGCGGCGTCGACGTCGACATCTTCGTGTAGGTGTTCAAGTTTGCCGCGTCGCTGCGCTGCTCAGCTCAACTAATTTGCAATTCTTGCGAAAAACAACATCGTGAAAAAAAGAAGGGAACAAAAAACATTTGAGCATTTGAAGTATTCAATTTATTGGCGACTGCGCAGCTGATTCGACGCCAACGGCGAGTTTCCGTTTAAGGTCAACTTGCCGCATTTTTCGAGCCAACGAAAAGTTGTTTTTCGTGCGCTGCGTTGACCAAAAATTAATGTTTTCGGACCACAGACTTGAGCTGAGTCGAGCTTCACACAGTCCACCGCCAATGAAAAAGTCAGCGAATAAGTGGCTCAATTCTCGAATCGCAACGGCAGAGAACAGCTGCCAATTATGGGTAGCCCAGAATGGCAGTAATGTGTGAATATGGCTAGAGTAATGACAATAAGTTTTTTTTTATGTTGGCCAACAGGTCGTATGCGCAACATTAATTGTGCGACTGAAGAGGCTAAGCCAAGCTTGCCCCAACAATATTGAGTAATGGATGCATACTTGAGCTGAAGAGCTGTCAGATTTGGAATATTGTTTTAGGCATGAAATCAAAAGTAATTTTGTGTTTTACAGAAGCGTAATTTCACTCTACTTATCTCCCTCTCTCTCTCTCTCTTTCTCTGTTCGCCGTATCTGATAAACTAGTCAAAGAAATCGAAACCAATTAAAATGTTGTTAGATTTTATTGTATTTAATATATTTTCAATCATTTTTCACATTGTAGCTGTAGTATTTTCGAATGTGAGTATCATTGGAGAACACTACTGAACTACTTACATTATGACGTAGGTATTTTCTGTTTGTCTTTCTTCTTTTGCTTTGTTTATTTATTTATTTTTTTTTTTTAGACACAAATATTGTTTTGCTGTTAGCATAATTATAAACAATTGATTTAAACGCATACTATTTTACATATAATTTCATGCACATCGATTTTTTGTTTGATTTTCATAAAACTCAAGATGCATTGAAGAATTATTTGAGAAATACGAAGGAATATTTAAAGTACGAACAAAATATCTCAGTTGAATGGCTGCTCTATGTGGGTATTACTGTGGTTTTAGATTCTCAATGGATATGTAAGGTGGCTTAGACTACATAGTTAATGGTGTTTGCATTTGGGTTTATATTCTGCACATACATATTATTCTTATGTGTATTGGTATATTATCTTTTGTTTAGTAATGGATTTCTGAAACTAATCATTTAAAAACGATCTATATTTCAATTTAAGAAGCATTACATGCAAAACTTTTTGAAAACTTCTCTGGGCTGGCATGTTTGTTTTTTTTCTTTCGGGTTTTACTTTTATCTCTTAAAATTAAACATATACTTAGGTGTTCTTAAATTGCATTTTGGTTTTCTTTGTTTTTTTGTGTCTTTTTTGTTAAGTTATTTTGTTGTTTTTTAAAAACTTTATTTACAATTTGTATTTAGAGCTGCTTGTGAGCTGAGAGGCTAATTGCAAAGTTGAAGACGGATCCTGGGGCAGCGCACTTTCCTATCCATTTACCTGGCCAGCAATGCGGCTGGCTACCTTTCTCCCATCGCATTGCCAAATACCAGTTATGAGGCGCCATTAACTGTCAATATCTAAATCGATATCCAATATCAATATTCAGGGGCCTGGCTAATGAAGCAACGCCACCAACGCCTCGAGCCTGATGAAATTTTCCGCATCATTTTCGCAGCGCTTAATGAGCAAATCATGACGGGACTCGTTTACTGTTGCTGCTGCTGCTGTTGTTGCTGTTGCTGTTGCTGCTGCGGGGGCAGCATCGGCGACATTACAATTATGTTGGCTGTGGCTGCTTGGCCATACTCGAGCGGCTTCTGCATGGCTATCCCATCGGAGTCCGGTGCACGGGCTATAACACAATACTGATTGCCGTTGTAGGTGACGATGGGCACGTTCATGTTGCCGGCAGCATCGCCCACATTGACGCCGATGGTGTTGCCGGCGTGTAGACCAGTCAATTGGGCCTGCATGTAAGTGGCCGCCGTTGGGGAGTTGGCAATGATGTGCGAGACGGGCACTGACACCTGATCGGGAAGAAGGGATGAAGGGATACAGATACAAAGATACAAGATACAAAGATTGAGTGAAAGTGACAAAAATTTTGCGTGTTGTTGTTGAATGGTGTTTAGGTAGTTGTTAATGTAGTAGTTGTTGTAGTTGTTGTTGTTGTTGTTGTTGTTAATAGCTAGTTACTTCATGTCCCTGATGGGCGATGCTGTTGCTGATGTTGTTGTTGTTGTTGTTGTTTTGGCTGCTGCTATTATTATTATTATTGTTGTACATAGGCGCGCTGGACTGTGCTTGCTGCTGCTGTTGCTGCTGCTGCTGCGGTTGGTGGTGCTTCCTGGCCGCTTTCTTGCCGCCAGCTACATGTTGCTGTTGCTGTTGCTGCTGCTGCTGTTGCTGTGGCTGTGGCTGTTGGTTGGCATTGAGGATCATCTGATTTTGTATGATTATCTTCTGGTTACGTGCATGTGCCTCCATTTGCGAGTTGTTGTTAAGTATTTGGTTGCGGTTCGCATCAATTTGATAGCCGCGATTATTGCTGCTGCTGTTGATGTTGTTGTTGTTGCTGCTGTTGTTGTTGTTGTTGCCGTTGCTCTTAGCGATGGCGGCTGCTTGTTTTGTGGACTCTACGACTAACCGTTCTTGTTGTCAATACTGCAAGGATCAGAGAAGGCCAGTTTAGAGCCGCACCGATACGAAATGCTTGTACTGCCCTAGGCCCCGCTGGCCGGTAGGCTCAACCGACATTTGCTCACCTCCAGATGACTCTTGGCGTGAATAGACCACTCGTCCCTGCTCGAGAACATGCGTCCACATAGCTCGCACGTCCACGATAATTGCTGCTGGTGGTGTGGTATGATGATGCCCGGAATCGCTGTCGGCGCCCCCTGCGCCGACTGCACTATGATATTCTGGGCGGCCACCTGCACAGCCTGTTGCTGCAGCTGCAGCTCCAGGCTCTGCTTGTTGTCTTCCGGCGGCGGATCCGGTTGTTCCTTCTTCTTTACCATATTGTTCAGCCGCTTGCCGAGCGGCGCGATATTTGTGGGCGTCACGTGCTTGAACTTGTTCATGTGGATGACAAGCTTGTCCCGGCGAGCGAACGCCTTATTGCACACCTGAAATGGAGCAGATTGCAACAGATTAGTGGCTGCCAGCCATCTTTGGGGCATTGAAGCCTTTGAGTCTAGTGCTGCTTATACTTCACAAATATAGGGCTTCTCGCCGGTGTGGATGCGCATGTGGATGGTCAGCTTGTCCTTGCGCGCCAGCCCCTTGCCACAGACGGTGCACTCGAATGCCTTGTTGGTGGCTGCAGAGGATCGCCAAGGTTTTCATTAAATGTATAGCACTCTGTTGTTGTTGTTACTCACTTTTTGATGGGTTTGTTTTGCGCACCCCGGAGGAGGCCTGCTGCACCTGTTGCAGAGCCTTGAGCCGACTGGCCGGATGCATGGAGCCGCCCTCCACGTATGGCTCGGTGAAGGGTATCAGATTCGGCTTCGGTATGTTGTAGGTGAGCTGTTCCGCCGCTGACCAGGTGCCCAGGCTCTGCAGCACGCGCACTCCGCCCTCGAAGCCCATGCCGTCATCGGGCACCGTAAAAGTGCTGTCGCCGGCGGCGCCAGCAGCGCCACCTGAGCTGGAGGAACTGATCTGTGGCACTTTAATGGTGGCCGCATAATGTTGCTGCTGTTGCTGTTGCTGCTGCTGCTGCTGTTGCTGCTGCTGTTGTTGCTGCTGTTGTTGCTGCTGCTGCTGCTGTTGCTGCTGCTGCATGCTGCCATTGTTCTGGCTGCTGTTGTTGTTGTTGGCCGTGGGCGAGCTCTGCTGCACGGAGCTCTGTTGCTGCTGCTTGAATTGGATGGCCGCCTGAGCCATTTGCTGTTGCACGGCCATGTGCGCCTCCAGGTATGCATTCTTCTGGGCCACCGTCATCTTGTCCATGTTAACGGTGCCGTCCTGCGAATTAACCAAATGGCAATGAAACATTGAATAAGTCTCTCGCTCACATTCCGTTCCGTTTCACTTTGTTTCGCTTCGTGTCGCTGCCACCCCTAAATGGCCAAGCGCGCAAGTGTTGCGAAATTTCACCAGCCGCCACCCCCAAAAGAACGCGCTCAAACAGCCTGCCCTTGCGCAAAAATTTGTGACTTGAGCTTTTGCTCGGGCGGATTTTCAATGAGGTGCGGACGTGTGTGCGGGAGCGGGCGCGTGTGCTGACTCTGGCGGTAAAGGTGGTGGTGGTGGTGGTGGTGCTACTGCTGCTGCTGCTGCCACTGAAGCCGCGCGCGTGTGTGTGTGTGTATGCCGGCCGTTCTCCCTTTGGCGGCGTTTTTGGGTTTGAGGCTTTTCCGTGTCTGCCTAAATGTATTTAAAGCGCGCCAGCGAAAGTTAAGCAAAATATTAGCCGTTCACTCACTTTGGCTTAAATGTTTATTGCCCGCTATTCACAGTTGGCCAAAGCCGCAGCACTAAACGCGAACTATGCTCATTGCCCCACACCGTGCGCACTATTGACATTTTCATTGGCTCAGTTTTCTAGCTTTTCTTTCGCCTAGGTTTCTTTTAGTTTTTTTTTCTGTTTTTTTCCTTTTTTTTTTTTTTGCAATGTTGCTTACCACAATTGAAAATCAATAAAAAGCGTTGCGTTTCGTACAAGATTTTTTTTTTTGTGTTGGGCTATCTATAGTTTTACTTCTTCTTCTTTTTTTCTTTTGCAGCTCACAGTTTTTGGTATATTTCAGAATGCTATATGCGAGTGGTATACGAGCTTTATTTTTAGCTACTGCTGTCGTCGCCGTTTACTTCCTCGAGCCAGTGCTCAGCGCCTTTTGTTTGTGTATGTATTGCGAAACTGATTTGGAGTCGACTCGCTCAGTCGCTGTCACCGTCGCCGTCACCGTCGGCGCTGGCGTTGGCGTCGCAGTCGCAGTCTCAGTCTCAGTTGCGGCCAGAACGAACACAATTTGAGTAATTATTTGTTATTCTTCACCGAGAAACAGGAACGGAACGTGCGACAATGACGACAACGACTACGACTACGACCACGACTACGACGAAGGCAGCGCTGGAGTCAGAGTCAACGACAGACAGATACTGAAGCGCCTGAACTTGAGCGCAAAAGGCGGAAGTGTAGCTAGAAAAAAAAGGTATTGCATACCACTCGGCGCGCTGCCTGAGAGCTTTCGCTCTCTCTCCCACTCTCTGTGCGTCTCTCTCTCTCACACACTCTTGCGCTCATCAGCGCGATGGTGGTGGCTGCCGCGGAACAACTTGACAACGAAACAGCGTCGTCCGCGTAACTTTGACAATGACAATAGCGGAGGCCGCTTATCAGTAGAGATGCCTCGCTGGTTCACTCACCTGAAAGTCTATGGTGGCTCGGACCATCTGCATGGAGGCGGCATAGTTTCGCAGCATATGCTCGTTGCGCACGCAAAGCTGCCGCCACTCGTACAAGTGCTCCAAGCGGTCGAGGCACAGCTCACATATGCGCTTCGGCAGATAGTCGTCCTTGGTTATCTGTTGAGGACCACACACACACATATGTAAATGCACACACACACACACACACACACACACACACACATATACACAGCTACTCACATTCGCCTGCAGCAGACTACGCAGCTTGTAGAGCAATTGGCGCTGCTCCGCCTGCGGCTCAAAGATATGCAGCTTGGTGGGTCCATGGTGTATGCCACACAGGCGGCACAGCTCAGCGAAGTTGCTAAAGTTTAGATCCGCGTCGTGCTGCTGCCCCTCCTCCCCATAAAGCTGGCCGTCATGTGTTGCGCCCGCAGTGTCTAGCAGGTGTTGCTGCTGCTCCAGTTGCTGTGCTGCTGCCTGTGCAGTAGTGTGCTGTATGTGCGACTGTCGATTGTTGACGTTCAACATCACGTATTGCGCGCGCTTTTGGTTTTGGTATGGCTGGCTTAAGTCAAGCTAAGTTGCAGCTGCTAGTGGTGCTGTATCTGCATATTGGCTGCAATGCATTGCTGATTGTACTGACAGGTGCATACCCACACACATACACTCGCACACATACCCATAGTTCGTGTAGCTATAATGGTGCCCAGTTGACCACCCTCCCACCTGATTGATGTGGGAAAAATCGATGGAATTGCACTATAATTTACTCAACCACAACACTGAAAATAATTGCCACCAATCAAGCTATTACCAATTAACTTGGCTATCCCGTTACAAGCACTGCGCGCCCATTTAGCCATATTTTAATCCCTTATAATTGACATACATTCGTATGCGCGCACACACTCACGCATGTGGCATGCCACACATACAGCAGATGATAATTGTTTATTTTTATTTCATTTCTCTTTTTATTGAACACTTCGAATGTGGAGAGCACAAAATAAAAACGATTTTCGGAATAAAAACTGCTAATGCCTACGATGGGTAGCTGTTGCCACTGCCACTGCTGCTACTGTTGCTGCTGCTGCTCTTCCTGTTGCACTGCCACTTTGCCACTGCCACTGCCAGCGCCACAATTGAACCACTCTCGAGTGTGAGTGCAACGTCGGTGAGTGAAAATTGCAGGCAACATAGCCTGCAGCCAGGGCACGGCGAGTGCGCATTGCAGGACTCTGAAGGGGGGCGTCCAGCTAAGTGGGCGTTTGTGGGGCATCGCATACGTTCAGGTTCTTGTTTGGGTTGCTTGGGTGTTTGGGTGATTGGATGTTTGGGCTTTTTTCTGTACACCAGTAATTTTTTGTTAGAGAAGAAATGAAAACAAAATGCTTGGTAAATCATAAAAACGCGGGCAACAGGTGTTGATTAGCCTTCTGCTTCCGGTGGCGGTTCATCGGCAGCAGGTGGTGCCGTCTCAGCTGCTTCAGCCTCTGGTGGTGCTTCCTCTGCTGCTGGTGGCGCTTCAGGCGCTGGCGGTGCCTCTTCAGCCGCTGGTGGAGCCGCTTCGGCAGCTGGCGGTGCAGCTTCAGCCGGTGGTGGTGCCTCTTCAGCTGCAGCTGCATCCAGTTCGTCTTCGCCAACGCCAACCTCTTCTGGCTGAGGTGAGGGTGCTGCTGGCTTACAATCGGACAGCGAGCTGCTGCCCTGTTCGAGCATAGCAAATTCATCCTCGCCAAACACATCAGCGAAATCTTTCTGCTCGGACTGCTCTTCCTCGGGCACAACCTCTTCATACACAACGATCTCCTTCCAAATAATCTCCTCATCGACGCACACGGGCTCATCACTCTGCGGCTCTACACGCTTGGTGAGATCTATATCTTCAGTACACGGCTCGGTGTGGTCGAATCCACCGCAAGTGACACATGATGACGTAGTTATCAATACCGACGAATGCGGCGAGGAGCTGGACAGCACAGAGGTGGTGCTGGAGACCTTATCCTTAGGCTTGGCATCCTTGGCTGTTGACTTGTACGTTACGGTCGTCTGTTGCGACTTCTCCTGCATGCTCAGATCGGGCATTAGCTGGCACTGATTGGTGATCTGCGGCACGACGGGATTGCTACGCATCAAATAGTCGGACACACGGACTTTCCAATCCTCCTGGCTGCAGTCGACATTCTGCATAATATCGTAGATTTCCGAGAGCAGAGGCTTCAACATAGGACGGTTGCAAAAACGATTCCTATCGAAGATTTCAATGGGCTCATGGATGTCTGCATAAATTACATGGTTGAGAACATGATTGACATCGGTGATCTGCATTACTTACAGTTCGGAAATATAAAGGTTATTTCACGAGCCACACTATCCACATGCTTAGTTACATGAATATTGCGCTCCAGCTCCGAAGCGGTGCCACTGTAGGTCAAACAAATTAATTGAAATCGAACTTCAATCGCCCTGGACTTACAAATAACACATCATGATATTCAGCAGATCCTGTACGCCGTTCTCTTTGGTAAGAATAAAGGCCTCAGAAATGCCCTTAGATAGCAATATTACCTCCAGCATGAAGCCCTTCTCATCTGCAAAGTCCGCATAGAACTCGGCTGCCAGCTCGGGCGAAAAATTCAACTTCCGACTTCCCTGTATCTGATATCCGGAGGCTAAGACCTTCAGCAGCACCGGACGGCGCTTGTGCATATAGTCCGGCTTGATGATCAGCAGCGTGTCCTGGAACAGCATTCTGAATCACATGTATAAATTATAGTGTATTTCTCGAACTGTTTCCAAATAAATTTTAAACATGTACACTGATTTCAGATCAGATCAGATCAGATTTTATTCTCGTTTTCATGTTTTACACTTTTTTGTCGTCTTATGCTACACACACTTTTTTAATACGTTTCTCCCATTTCTCCATAGGTGATTAGTCGCAGACTGATATATGCTCTTAGGATTGCAGCAATATTATTATAAAATGAGTTCACGTTTAAGTGATATATAAAAAGTACATGACCGGAAGGGGCGTGTCTACATTCAAACTTTAATTTAATTTAAGCCCGTTTCGCATTCTCTTGCTAAAATCAATCGGTTTCGAGTTCATTCTCATTTAAACTATCACCCACACTTTATTTCTCGACCTAAGTGCAATGTGTAAAGTAATTGATAATTGAGAAACAAAATTATAAATTTAGAGAACAGTAATTTTAGATCATTTACAGTCACAATGGATTACAGAATGTAAGCAAATAAGTAAAGATATAATATATATTTATATAAATCGTGGCGCCCCTTTGCGACACATCACAAGGCTGTTGCGGTTACAACATCTTAAGCTAGAATTAAAAGTTGCAATATGTTAACAAATGTGGAATCCATTAATCTCTTCTACATGCTCTCATATACCTGAAATTCTGGCAAAGGCCAACGCGGACTTCTCGTTGTCGAAGCATTTGCCTATCTCAGCGCAGACGTGCGACGGATCGACATAGGGACGCTCAGACAGATGCATGATGCTGTAGCCATAAATAGTTATCATTCGCTTGCACTGAAATATCAAAATTAATAAATACAGGAACATATCGATTTCAGAATGTATATATTTACAATGCTATAGTACTTGGCTGGCAAGTCCTCGCAGGCGTGTGAGACCATGTCCCGAATGGTCAATTTGTCGTGATCCTTCTCCGAACGGAAAAATGGGAACAAGGACTCCGCAACGCCATGGCAAACGCCACAGTCAATCACCTCATCGGTGATGACTTGGCTAAAGCAGAGCTGCAGTCTCTGGCACACCTCCTTCGGAGGCACCTTGCTCAGCAGACTAATAATGGCCGAGGCGTAGCCGTCCACAAAGGTGTCACATTGCTTGCGTATGGTGGTCGGCAGGCGTCCGCAGACAGCGCGGATGGCCTTTTTGATCTCGTCCTGTTCGGTCTGGTTTCGCAGATCGGCTTCCAGTTTCGTCATAATGAATTCACACAGTACACAGGTGGGCGGCTCATTGACCTTGGTTGACTCCAAGCGTGCTAGCTTATCGACCTGCTGCTTGGGCATCACAATTACGTCGTATTTCAAGGCCTCATCGATTTCAACTGTTAATTGAGAAATACAGTGGGCATAAGTTAAGTATATATATCAACCTTAAAAGGCACTTACGATCCTCCTGTTCGTCGCCCAAGCACATGCCCATCTCAGTGCAAATAATTTTCGGTTCCATCTCTCTCAGTAGAAGGTCGGCAATCTGATCACCGCGCTTGTCAATGAATTTATGACACTTGATGGCCAATGGTTTTTTGAACTTATCGCAAGAGTGCTCTAGCACGTCCTTAATCTCTGACTTGGTCATTGGCTTGACAATCTTCTTCTCGACTGTTTTGACAACTTCTTCGCAGAGTAAGCAATTGGGACCGACGCCAAAGTCCTTGTCGAAAGCAATCTGTATGGGCATCTCCTTGCTGGAGTCGATTTCATTGGCTTCCATTTCCTCACTGTTGCTGCTGGACGACTTATCGGTCTCCGCGCTATCTATGAGCGTGATGCTCATTTCCTCCAAATAGTCCTTAGTCTTGGGACACAGCTTGAGCTGTACGCAAATCTCTTCTGGTTTGAAGTCGGTGATAAGCATGTCAATGAGCTCGTTTGAGTAGGTCTCTACAAAGTCTACGCACTCGTCGCGCAGCTTGTTGGGCAAATGGGTGCACAGGCCGTCAAGAACCTTTTTGATATGGTCCTTCGACTTGTTGTCGCGTATCTTTATCTGAGCTTGCTCAACGGCAAACAAACAAAGCGGGCAGGTGGGCTTGTCCTGCTGATCGCTGGATACCGGTGCTGGATTAAATACCTCGATATCTTCGTGATTCTCAATGTTACGTGGACACATCTGCATCATGGGGCAAACGCTGCGTGGATTCAGACCCTGAATGAGCAGTGCAATGACCGCATCGCCGTACATTTCCACAAAGTTGCGGCATTGCGCGGCCACGCCCTGTGGTAGCTTAGTGCAAATGTTCTCAACAGTGTGCTTAATCTCATCATCGGTAGCAGGCGTGGCCAGCGTTTCCTGAATAAAGTGCAACAGATACTCGCAGATGGTGCACAATTCGCCGCCCTGCACCAAAAGGCCGGGATTAGCGGCTCCCATGAGATGATCAATTGGCAGCTGCATATCCATAATTTGTTGCTGGCTGAATTTGGGCTCGTTGGCGCCTAACTTCTTGATAGTCACGTGCACTTCGGCTGGCGCAATGGCCGGCAGCAAAGGCATGATGGGAGCATCGTGGGTGATATCCAAGCCTTTGGGGCACACTCCAATGAGGAAACAAGTACCATTGGCATCCAGATTGTTGACCAACGTGCTGTAGATGACATGATAGTACTGATCCACAATGCTGATGCACTCATCCTTGAAACCACGCGACTGCTTGCAGAAGCCCTCGAGAACCTGCTTAAATTCGGTCTCTGTGGTGTTGGCCACAAGCACATCGCGCAAATGCTTCACCAGCTGCTCGCACAGAGCACAGGGAATGTCATCACCAACGCCATCCAAAGTAGTCAGCGCCTCCGGTTCCTTCACATCATCCTCGTGTTGATGGTAACGGGCCGCGCAAACGCCAGACAAATGACACAGGCCATCTGACCGCAAGTGCTGCTGCATATGCTCGTAGATATCGTTGAAATAGGTCAGTACCAAGTTGGCGCAGCCATCGGAGAAACTGGACATGGTGCCGCACCAGTGCAACAGCTGCTCAACCATATCGTCGCGGTTGGTAGACTCAAACTTGCTCTGCATCTTGCGCGTGAGCAAATTGCAATTGCCACAGGTGAGCTGTGTCAAGCCAGTCTCCTTGCTTTCTTCCTTCTTGTTATCATTACTATCGATCACTACTTCCTCTTCCTTGAGCGTGCCATCCAGAGCAGCCTGATATGCGTTATGCAGCAGTTCATCGATGCGAGCGCTGTTGCACAAACCAGCTACCGAACAGACTTGCTGTTGGGGAAATGAATAAAGATAAATAAGAAACCGTAAACAGAATTTTTATCGGCTGCTCACATCAGGATTCATTTGCGAGGACAACGCCTCGACAAGCTCGGGTATAAAGTTGTCAGCCAGAGTAATGCACTCCTTCCGCACTAGTTTGATGGGTATCAAATTGCAGGAGCCTTCAAAGACCTCCTTAATCTCTTCCTCGGTCTCATTGCTGCGCAATTGATCGCGCGCCTGTGTTACCATATCCTTGCATATCTGGCAAATCGAATCCGTGTCCACGGGCACTGTTCGTTTTTCCCACACGGTCTGAACACAGTGACGGGTAGCTTTGCATTCCTTTGAATTGCTATCGAATGGAACAAAGCGGAATAAATTAGTCAACTATACAAAGAAAAATATGCTGCGTCCGCAGTTGGGCAAAACAAATGCCTCAAGTGACCCGCAATCATAATCGCTTTTCGTTCAGCTAGAAGCCCAAGCAAAGTCAGCAAAGATCAGAGTCCAAAGCATTGAATGAACCCTCGCAATATGCACTAGTTGAATGCACCCGCAGCAAATTTATCATATATGTCACATTCAGATATCACTTAACAGACTGCGGGAATTATGCTTAACCGCCCAACCATTTAAAAACAATAATCTGATATTGTAGAGAATTCATACGCAGTTGATGTTGCCCAAAAATTACTGTGCATTTTTTAATTCTTTGATATTCTTGACGGGCTGTGGGGACTCAGTAATGTGCTAGTTTGTATTTAACAAACAAATATTGTATATATACTAGGCAAGATAAGCAGACATACTCATATATCTGGCATATACATATAATATATATGTATGTACATATATTCATATACATATGTAGCGACTTCTTGTTGCAAAAAATTTGCGACGTTTTTCTGTTTATATTTACAGTTTTGGTTTGACAAGGAAAACAAAGACGAGTTAAGCGATCCCGTGCACATAAATAAATTAATAAATAAACAAAGAAATATAAGCTAATGGAAAAATACAAAGTAAAATCTATCGATTGCAAAAATTTTTTTCTAAGTTGTATGAAAGCTGAAACGTTGATTATTGAAGCATTTGCCAGAAATGCAATGGCGTGTTTATGGCGGTTATTGCATATGTATTACACACACATACACACACACACTATTCCAACCTAGGGCAAATACATGTGTAGGTATAAGTATAACAGCAATTATTCAGAAATCGAATTGATAAGAAAGTGCCAAGTGTTAAATGTAATATATTCAGTTCCATTTATGACGAATAGTTGGCAAAGTTTTACCGAAAGTCGGACAAAGAGCAGCCCTAAACTGAGACTAGACTTAGCTTAAACCCGATTAGTCATCAAAATTTGCGGCTGATTATGCAGCTTTCAGATATGTTTATTTTTTTTGGCATATGTAATCCGTTGACTCAGCTGGAATGTCTATTGTTAATTGAATTTAAAACGGAAATCAACAAAAATAGCACTTACAAAGAGAGTCGCAGACGAATGAGAGTGAGTGTATGTTGTGCAAAGTGTAGCCAAAGTTCGTACGTATGACAAGTGTGCACAAGAAAACACAGAGAGAGAAATAATGCTAAAAAAAATTAGAGCAACTGTAAACCGCATAACAAAGGTTATCGACGGCACAAACAGTATGGCGGCTCCGCCTTGGATGCCGTGCCGATTGCCTTCCTTATCAAACAGTGCTTTAAGACGAACAATGAACACAGTCAAAGAAGAAAATATGACAAACACGACGGGTTAATAACTGCGTAGTGGCTATTGTCTCACATATGCGCTTAGTTAATGCAAGCGCGGGAGTTA